TGCGCCGACGATCTTTGTCAATGATCATTGGATCCAGTATATCACGGGTCAGCCAGTCCATCATTCATCTTTCCAAAGTCACCAACCAGAACAAATCATGATAATTCATGACGCTTCGCTTCAATCCGAGGAACATTGTGACGATAGGTTATGTACACCCTAACACAATGTGTTCTCTGCAAACATGAATTGCATGTGTCTTCAATTATCGGTACTCCTATGGTATTATCGAATTGGCTACAATTAAAGTTTGAAACTACTGGTAGTAGCATCTGTGTCATAATTACTAATCAGAAGAAGAACCGTACATTGCCAGCACCGAAGAAATCTCGAACACATTTAGTGCCGTTTGTTACTGTCTTATCGCACCAAATGTACAAAAGAGAATTTGCCCTCGCCACCCGAAAGCACGTACGGATTTGCTCAACGACTTCTACAAATGAGACGAGAACACTGTTCGTATGTAGCTTTTCTTGCGTGACTTATCTTACGTGGATTTTAATGTGGCTTTGCTCTCGTGGCATAACATCCCGAAAATGTGCATATGAAGACACAGAAGCGGCATTTAGTGAGCACATTGCCAAAACTATAGCTTTCAAAAGCTCACGCTGCGGATTACATTTTTGGCATTCTATATGACATGTGGGCCAGCTAACGGATTCAAGATGATGTCTTGGAAACTGTGCTTCCAACCTTGCGGAGATTGCGAACTCATTTCATTGCAAGCTTGAGAGACTGCCTCTGTTGACATTACTGAATCTAGGCACCAAATGGGGAAAATCTGCGGAAATCAGCAGTTGCGACTATTCACCTATCTCCGATCCCTTTGGCTAGCTTTCAGAAAAGACTAAGTGCAGCGTACATCGAACGTTTGCCCCCTCAAGTGCACCGTTGATTTAGTCCAAAAAGGATTAAGCGACTTTCTTAAGACTGAACGATCAGTTTCAAGTCACATCTACTTTCTATCAAATAGGGAACTGCTGTTGAGAGTAAGGTCTGTCATCTCAGCCACTTCTGATCGGCGACATGTCGTTAAATCGCGACTGCTTATAGGTCAGTAAGCGCTTGCACCTGCAAGTACCACGAGCACTTTCTAATGCTATGTCACCATGCATGTGCCTTCAGCTTCCGAGTCAAAGTAGCATTATGGAGATACAAGGCGATATTTCGGCTCGAATAGTCAACTTATTGATGGCATGTGTCTTCTCGTGTGAAATGGCTTTGTGGACGAATTGCTGAAAAGATGGAGGATAGATGCTAACAAGCAAGTCAAGCAAATCTGGAAATCGATACATATATCAAGGCTCATATGTAATTTGTACTACTTACGTAAACAGATTCGTTCAGTAAAATTCGGTCAATGCAAGTAAATCTGAAGCTGGAGGACCAAATCTTTGTTTTGTCAGCAGTCTATTCTATTCCTTATCAATTTCAGCAGCCACTTTTGAGCGATAAGGATAAATCGGTTATTGGATGACCTTATGAATTAAGTGAGATGAATGGATCGAAAGCCTGTAGATTCAATTCGACAGCAACGCTTTGATTACGTTAATGATGAAATTTGGCAAGTTTTCTTAAATATAAAGCGCAACCAAGCCTTATCAACACTAAGAGATCGGCACGAAGAAGGTTCGCTTCAGTACGATACAACAAGACCACGGATCGACGCACAGTATAAACGCAAAAGTATGAATACTCCTCGCCAGGCTAAAGATTCAATGTGTAGGCTCGTAAAGCTGTTGTAGACGCTGTCGGAAAAGTTGTCGGTCTGCTAGTCGCACATTTAGTTGTTGCTGTTCCTCAATTAGAGATCTACGTGCGACCGTGAGCTCGGCGTACAAATCCTGTGGTGTGATTTGACGCTTGCCGTCGCGGAAGGCCTTAGCAGAGTTTTCATTGCACTTCTGCCAGCGCCGAAGTACATTTGAGAATTCGCTCTCAAGCTGAGCTACTTCGTCGCGCAGATTCTTAAGTGCCTCACGCTTCTTATAGTAACAGCGCTTTACAAAGAGGCGATTCTTGGCCTGTTTTTCTTCATTTGAGAGCCGCTTGGAAGAGAGAAGCTTTCCCGTACTGCAGCGCGTTTTTATCTTTCCGGCCAGGCTGGGTTTTTCGAGTTCCGAGGAAAAGGAAGAGGCCGAAGACAATGGCGAGTGGGGCTCTACGCTCATTTCTTCCATGTCGAAAAGATCGAGCGAGATAGAAAGAGGATGCTTCGACTGTGGTATGCTTGGCATCGAGAAGGTGGTGGAAGCAATTATTGTTGACATGATTCTTATTGTAGGTGGCTTGTGGTGATGAGTGTTGCTTCTTGCCGTAGTGAGTGAATCCAGGAATGGACTCTGTTCCCTTGATAGATGCCTGCTGACAGTCAAAACGATCGCAAGGAAGGAATATAGATGGAAGATGATGCAGCAAGGATGCTGACCACCATGTTGCGACTTTCGAAGGATAACACTGTTGTTGAGAATAAGATTATGCGCCTTGCTTTGTGCACAACAATTTCAAGGAGTGACACAGTTCGGAACAAGTGCTGGACGCCTTGTAATGGCGTCCCGCTCTCCCTCTGCTTTAAAGTCTCCGATGGAATTTAAAGTCTTGATAATAAGCTTTGAGCGATTTTTTTGTTCATTAATTGACTACTTGGCAGGAGTTCGATCCACAGCGTGGCCACTTCGGTGTGCACTTCAATGTGATATAACATATGTACCATATTTAACGTCGCAGAAGAATTTCGCTCGCGTCCATCACCTGTGTCGCACTTAAAATACATGTCCTACTTGTCTATCAAACTAATGCCCTTTGCAGACTATCTGCTAAATGAGAGCTGAGCCTTGTTTCGTGCTACTGTCGTAGAGTTTCTTCCAGCTCCAGCAGCATCGTAATCGCCAGATTTTGTGTGGATCATTCGTGGCCACCGTGGTCATTGCGTTCAGATTATGTTACAAATACAAATTCGTCGCTGGCGCAAGTGAGATGCGAGCGATAGACTGTTATGATGTACTTCTTCAAGAAGAAACGACTCTGACTCACTTTAAGCTTGCTACGAGCAATGGCACGATCGGCAAGGTATGATCTCGCGGTCGTCGAACATTATGATGAGTCAGATAGGAAAGCCGCATTACTTAAAAGAAATGGCCGAACTCCATAATAAATTCAACCCCACAAATTGCAGCGCAACAGTATCCAGCGCAGCACTTCAATCTAAATTTGTGGTGTTCGAAACAGAATCGGTGACTTTGGTAAACCAGAGCGACCCCTTTCTTAAATTCGTGTGATAAATTTGAGGGACAGCTCAGACGCTTATGTTGTTTCGAAAGCGAATCAGACAGGACCTCTCGTATAAACTCGTCGAAATACAAACCTGCCGGCTACATTTTAAGAGTTCAAGGGATGCTCCATAATTCCAGTGCTTGCCAGATTGCTTGGCAGGAAGGGAGCAGCTACAAGTAGATTCAACCAATCTTTCAATAATAGCATAACTTCAATTTAGTGCACAAATATTTTGATCATCACTTTATTTTCAACTTTGTCAAACTATGCACTTCTTTTCTCCTCAATGCCTAGAAAATGGATTGGTAAACCATGCAGCTCATTTCACGCCCTTCGTCGCTTGGAAAATTCAAACTTAATAGAAAACATGTTCAGCACGCAGCTACGGTACGAACATGAAATTGTACCACTCTGCGGGAAATCAGAGAAATCACAAAAGGGGATTATGTACTGTCAAAAGTTTGCAGTCTCTTTTTGCGAATTATGGCAGCTACCATAACGTGACAATCTCTATTCTCTCTGGGCTCAACAAATTTCGAAGATATCTACCGCGCTTTGCGCGCACGCCATCACTCGTGTCAAGGGTTTGAGCTTGCATCTTTGTCTATTGACACAGCTTGGTGTAATTTATGGAAAAGATGAATTAAAATTTACAAAATTGACTTAGTTCCTAAATCTAACAGAACTTTCTTATATTGATAGAATGTTACATTAGCAGTTTATTCAGGTATCTCTTTGCCTTACGATGTGATCGTGGACAGTTAACGTTTGAGAAATTATAGACGTCGACTGTCATTAATACATACTTTTCATTTACCTCGCACAATCAAGTACGTTTTATAGCTATTATCATGATAAAAGTATCGTCAGAGCTGACTCATACACCTGCAAACACATTCATTCGGCTGTAAGTGAAAATTGCGATCCGACAGCCATGCCTTCCCATCGAACCGCGATGAATAAAACTTCACGTAGCCAAAGTGTCGTAGTGGCAGTTCCACCAAAGTGAAACAAGCAATCTTTAGGCTTCTCGGGTACCTCGTAAAACAAAACCCAGATGTACATGTCAACCCACGTATCGGAAGGTATTGACTTGAGTGCTGCCGCAGATTGTCCATCAATGTTATTCAAACCACCACCATCAACCTCTTTAAAGTGCACGAGTTCCTTATCAATTGATCGAAAGAGTAGCAAATAACCCTCTTCAACCTGCCTTCTCGAAAGCAAAAACACTGTTTTGACTGCTCGTGTGTCATTTGCCGGTACTGTAATACGTCGGTAGAAGAGTATTGTGTCAGCATCTATTTGCTGCAGCAAATGAAATTGTGCTTTTAAAGCTGAGCCGTAAACTTTTGGAAATTCCAGTGGGTTCGAAAAAATTGACCAACTCCGTTGCAGCAAATCACGAGGACTAAGACTAAACTGCTTTTGAAGTGCAAATTTTAAAGTACGTCCGATAACCTCGCGCTGATCGATCCAGCCAAAAACACGGGCGCCAGTGCTTAACTTCTCAGAACTACGGGCGAAACGAAGCACGTCACATATTGTGTCATTAATAATTTTCATGTATAATATGTCAGGTAGCGGATGAATATGATACTGCGAAACATTACAAAGTCCAGGAAGCGGTGCTTTAGTAGCTTCAGAGTCCAATAATTGACCCATACGGCTTTCAATCTTCATGTAGCAAGCGTTAAGCTGGTACAGTCGGTGATTCTCGTGCTGATACCATTTCTTGAGCTCTGTGGCTCGCAAATACTTTTCCATAAGCGAATTCGTAATGCTAGTAACATTCTTGACGCTGGGGCGTTCGTCCCGTCGCTGATTGTTGCTACTTTCCGACAGCAGCATGGTGGAATGCTGTTTGTCCAGTTCCTCTAACTCTCGTCGAAGACTATCAAGTGTTGTCTGCACAAAACACTTGATCAGCATGCTTGGTTTGCCTCATCTCACGCTTTGATAAACCACGTACAAGCTTTTTCTTATACGATTTTTTCACATACTCCCGGTGCTTCAGACGTCTGATCTCCGTCAGCTTAATGGAAGCGGCCGTCACGATATCTGTAGCTGGCGGATTGTCCAGCTTCATATTCTTCACACGATTACCTCGAAGTAGTAAGGAGTCGGAGCTTTTGCTGTCATCCGAGTAGATAATTGGACATAAAAAAAAGGATGTTTACTAATGTGCACCTGCGTCAGTAGATTGATTGAGGTATGATACCTCATTCCAGATCAGTCTTTGTTATCTCTTATTTTTCTACTAATTTATCTTGAAATTATGTATATGACTACAACTTGACAATGTATTGGCAAATCAGAGAAGTCTCATGAACTAAACAATTTGCAAGCCAGAACCGATATAGAACCGTAGAAACTGTACAAAATATAAAAAATCACACAATTCAGAATAAAAGAACAGTAGCCGCTCATTAAGTCCGCATTCGTTAAAGTTCGCATTCCAACGATTCGTTTACGAAAATTCTAGAATTAATATTTTTCAAAATGTATATTCACATATAACATGTAAAGGCGGGTGATTGCGGAAGTACAACTTTGCAAAACACGTCAGATATGAAATATCATGATCACTCAACGTGAAAGATGAACCCTGAAGCTCATTCATCTCCGCTTCAATGTTAATGGCGTTATTCAAGGATTGTGTTCGCTCCTCGGCTCCTCGTCATCAGAATCACCTGACACATATTTGGGTTCAATTCTGAGCGCACTGCCTAGTTAATGTCTTCCATCACATTTTTGTTAACAGCTCAAGTCCGTCATCATCTTCGTGCAGAAATTGTTCAACCGCATTTCGAATTAAAGGGCGCTCGTCGCTATCGAAAATATTGCACCCTTGCAAGAGATATTGATGACCTCATCACTTCCAGCGTTGATGACTCGTCACCTCGCAGAGCTGGGATGATGTCGCCTTGTTGAAGCAGCTCTTTAACCTTTCTGCGATCATGTCGTTCTGAGCGATACTTACCAGATTGGAGGCGTCAAGAGATGCGGCGGCCTTCCTAAGACCAACCCTGCAGGCCCTCGCATATACGCAAGTGCCACTGCACTTGCGTGTGCCGAGCGCTCTCCTCGCGCTGACAGGCATTACATGCCTTCACGTATCGTGCAACCGACTTGTACATGCGGGCCACCAAAATTGAGTTATAAGAGATCGTTAGGGCTTCTCACGGTAAGAGTTACCGGCTATCGGAAGCGCCACGCACACGATCTCTTGCTTCAAATTGTCGTGGTACAGAACCACAATCTTTGACCCGTCGCCATAAGCAACTTCATTGTGAAAGCGACCATTTTTCAATGCATAACGATGTTGATCATCCTCAACATACAGTCGGCGTATCATATCAAGTGAATCATTTACGATAATATGAGCTAGCTCATAACCAGGACGACGTGACAATGTGTCAGCCAGCACGTTCAGCTTCCCGGCTTGTACGCGACCGTGAAGTTATATTCTGCGAAGAAAGACAACAAGCGACCCATCTGATGTGACAAGTGAAGAGACTGAACAGCATATCGCCAGCTTGCGGGATCCGTGAAGACGACAAACGGTGTTGAGCCCAAGAAGCGAACACGAAACTTCACCAGAGCCAAAAGCTCCTTGCCGTGGGCAGGGTTGTTCTTTTGTGTTGGCTTCAGTTGTCGCGATTGAAACGACACGTCTTTCTGAGTCTTTTAGCAATAGTGCACAACCAATCGCAAATACAGAAGCGTCACACACCACGCTATACGGCTTCGTATCATCTATACGACAATAAATGAATGCTCTTCACAGGTGGATGACCACTCCCATGGTTCAGCAAGTTTGATATTGGGCGTACCAATCCGCGTAGCTACGCGAGAATACTTGCAGGTAACTGGGCAAATCAATCCATTTCCTCAAATCCTTTTAATTCTGTAGCGTTGAACACTCCACGATTGCTTTGACCTCCTCAGGGTCTGCTCAAGCGCCGTGTTCACCAACATAACAACCGACTTCATTAGCACCGAAAATACACTTTGCAAGATTCGCTTGCAGTGAATGTTCACGTATATATTCCAGCACCACACGGAGGTGCTCTTAGTGCACTTTTCCGACAGATCTGCCATCTTTATCCTTCGAATGAACGACTATATCATCAAAATAGGTTTGTGCGAAGCGGCGTAGTGGTAAAAACAGATGGGAGTCAAATTGATTGGATGTTGCTGGGGCATCGGATAGTCTTTGTGTTAACAAAAGCCACTACCGGACGGTTTACTAACAGTCATCAAATGTAGGTCGTCCTCCGTCATCCAGATTTGGTAGTATCCATCAGCCAAATCATGTACAATAAACTGTGAACAGCCGGATATACGGTGGATGATGACATCTTTACGCGGAATCGGCGTTTCAGCGGGAAACGACTGCGCATTTACCTTGTTATATTCTTGAACAATACGCAACTCACAATTTGTTGTACGCATACAAAACGTTGGCTGTGAGGGGACTTGCTCTCCCTCACCCAGCCAGCAGCTTGTTTTGAGCAAAGAACTCATCAATATACTCATTTCGCTCAATCAGTGGCCACTGTCAAAGCACTGTATGCTCTGAACCAAGTTCACGATCCATTCCGTGTTGAGATCCATTTTCTGGTGGAAGACCAGAGGGCGGCTTTGCACTAGGACGTCATCCTTGTATTCTGTAACAGGTGAATAATTAGAATTGGTTAAATTTTGTAAAGTAAAGACGCTGTCAAAAGTCTTCGAGAGCCGAATCATTTATATCTGATGATGAGCGAAGTTCCGCTGAATCGACCTTCGACTGTAGCGACACGACCTCCGCAATACCATCACACTTAAGGTTGTGTAGGAAGTCATCGCAAGCGACTTCTTCGAGACCAGCTTCCCTATCGTCCGTAACGGTCCCAAAAACATCTATTCTGGTAATTTTACAACCAGTTACTGCATCCGCAACATTTGGACAAGCAAATTTGCATGCTAGAGTTATATCATGGGGGTACTAACTCACCCGCAAATTTAACTGCATCTAGAGCGAGAGTAGCAGTACCGCGACCAACAAATTCCGTAACTTCCTTCACATGTGTGTGCTCCGCCACACAACGAGTGGGGGCATCACATTTGTGGTCAGTTACACCAACTGACCAACAATACGACGCGACCACTGCATTAGTGGGAGTAAGGCATATCTAGCCACTGTCAATTTCTTTGACATTCCATTACACACTTGTCGACAACATTTTTCCGTCTTGATGGGGGCAACAACCGCAATCTCTTCCCCATAAACTCTTTCTGTTGAGTTATATCGCCATGCCCACAAACGATATATTCGTTTTGAATGGCCAGTTTTGGGCACCACTTGATCTGTCGATACACCTCTTGGGTGACCACCAGTGTACATACGACTTTGCATCTTCCCTAACCTGGGAATGTCAATTGCATATACCAATGAAGTGTGGATCAGTACCAGCATCATGCAACTGCCGAGCGCTTGGAATCTTTTTTCTGTGCATGGTGAATGTGGGTTCATTACTGTCAGTGGTTTCACTCAAGCCTGGAGAGCCCTCCCAATCGCTTACGATCGCCAATCGGTCCATTGCTTATGCTTCTCAAGCCACGGTATACCTAAACTCAGATCATACTGTTTGTCTGTCTTGAGGACTGTAAATGCTTCCTTTGAGTTTACGTCTTCAAACTTCAGCTAACAATCAGCCTAATTTTTTCGTAGTGACCACCAAACCAGTGGCCAACATCAATAAAATAAAGCCACCGCTTCTTTCTAGTGCATCCGAACGCACTGAGTCATTTTCAGCAGCACTGTGCTTGCGCGCGTAGTAACGCGAAGCGCCAGAGACAATTAAGACTTTAACCGAATGACCGTAATCCTTCGCACTCGCTGTGACAACGAGGAGACCACTTCGACTCGTTCCGTTAGCGAAGGACGGCAATTCTCAAGAACCAAACCTCGTGAGTGTAATCATGAGAGTTAAAATTTACCCCAGTATACCGCCCTGCGTTTCTGACCGCCTCGTAATATTGGTGCCACGTGACTCGGAACCACTACGACGAGAAACGTATTGAGAGGTTCGTCTGTCACGTGAACAATCACGGAGGATGTGACAATATTGATGACATCTATGACAGCGAATATGCTACCGATGAGCAGCCACCGCGCTGAGATCCATTGATTTTGTATTCCATTAGTAGCAGTCACTGCCTCCTTCGGATTGATCGAATGATCACATGCTTGACGTTAGCAGTAGACCTTACACAATGAAATCATAATTGTATCTTACGGAGTCGTCGGGCTCTGGCGAAAGACTTTCGCCTTAGGAGGACAATAAGTCAGTCCGTCCATAAATGCAATGACCTTCACTGCCTCTGGCAGTGGTTCGATTGCCATACTGATATAAAGATCACGGATCTTCTGTACATAGTCTTACAATGTGCTGTTATCTTGATGGCACGACAGAAAACGTCGACCGTTGCCAAATTGCCACATTCGGTGATGGTACATCAGTTTCATGGCTTTTCTCAGCTCTTGTAATATGGCAAAGTAGCCGAGGCGATTGACTTCCCATTCCATCGTCCAGTCTTTCGCACGGCTATCCAAGTTCGACATGGCGAAGGCCACTTGACTGCGGTCATCATGAATTTGGACCGATAGCGATGTCCATTTCTCGCTGCCACAAGGCAACATTTTTCATTTCGTTTTTGTGAAAGCTTTTCCATTTGATTTACACGGGGCATTCCGTGTATTCCGACGGTGATATTACTGCTTGTGGTGGAGGTGACGTAGCCGACGACGGTATGTTCTGGGATAAAGGTTTCAAAAATCCTTGCTCATACACAGCAAAACTTGCTAGGCGTTGAATTATCGCTTCTTGATCCAATTGGGGCATATCGAAGACCGCGCGATCTCCGATCAAAGTTCGCAGCTTCACAAAACACGGGCATTGCGAGTGTGTTTGGAACGGATATCCCTCCCTGTTGATCCGAGGGCGATCATCGCTTGTGGTAACAACATCATCCATAGATGAATTTTTCGAAGTATTCGGCGTTGGAATCTCCACTAGTGCTACCAAGTGTAACGGGAAT